TGTCTAAGTCCAGCAACGTGCTTAAAAAACTGTGATATTTGGTCTCTTCATTGGCTTGGAAAACGTTTTCTGGGCAAAACACGTAAATTTACCGATATGGGCAGCTTTTGCTCACATTGAATTGAGCTTGAACAAATTCATCATCCGGTGGATTTTGGTTTTTACGTCTCAGCATACTACTTCGTTTGGGAATACCATAGGACCAGGCCAGGTAAAATTGTCAGTGGAACTTCAGCTAAACCCGCTGGCATTCACAGATATTGCTTTGATCGCTTGTCTTCGTTGGTGTTTGATATATACCCTTCAGTTGACTCAGCAGAATCACACTACTAAGGACATTCCGGCAGTATGTAATCGATATATTACTTCAACTGGAGCAATTCGGCATAGTCTGTGTCAGGCATATATATATATATATATATATATATATATATATATATGCCTGACACAGACTATGCCGAATTGCTCCAGTTGAAGTAATATATCGATTACATNGTCGCTACCAGCGGCGTTCTTTGGGCCCTTGGGTCCGAGGTTTGAACTCCGCTAGTGTCATCCAACTTTGGTGGCAGTCAATTTCGCTGTCGTTCGGCTTAATAACACACCCAGAGCCTTGTGTGGTTCGTCACCAAGTAGCGGGGTTTAGACTATCGGTTACCAGAAGTGAACAGCAGGTTTTCTTGACTTTGGGGCTTACCCCGTCTGGTGGTATGCAAGAAAACAAATTAGTAATGGAGTTTTGAACTCTGAACCGATTCCTGGTAATAATGGCGAACTCCTTCAAACCAACTTCTGATCGTGGTGCTAATAATGCACATTGGTGAAACGACGTCAAATTAAAAGCACTTTAGGGTTAAATCACATTGGTTCAGATTTTTATTTTTATTTAACCTTTGCCAAGTTATACACCAGCTTTCAGTCAAAACTTCATCCGCTTCTTCGCCTTGGAACAAAGATTGCGCTGTAGTCGGGAATTGACTGAATCTGGTTTCACTCCTGAATTTCAAACGTGATGCATACAGGTTTATTTTCAATATTATCAATTTTTGTGACTTGTAACTTCGCAAAGTGCCAAGATCCGATCGTTTTGTACTTATATTTCAAAGAAATCTGACTTTTCCCTGATTTGTGTCATCGGTACAGGTGTTTTCTGTTATCCGTTTGTTATTCGGTAGTCCTCCTATCAGTTGTCCATTTTTGCTGATTTTTTAATCAACTTAGTGTATTTTATATTTATTCATGTCATTCTTTATTGTTGAAAATATTTGCTTCCATTATTTGTCCAGTATATTTCGACTGTCCTCGCAGATGCATCGTTATATTTAAAGTGAAACGTCATGGTTGGCGTGTTAAAAAATACTATGATACAATACGTGGTTACTCACCAAACTTTCTTTAGACATATGCTGGATGTTAGTCCCCACCAGTTGCTCTCAAAACAGGTCATTAGGTCACTTGTTCTTAGAAAACAACGTCCGTTTGTGATTGCGTAATTGAGTACTGTGATAAGGATGTTTTAGCGCCTGAACGTACTCTTGTAAATAATGATGTTTCCCAAGTGAACTGTTGAACTAACCCGCACTCTAAGGTATCCTGATCAGCTGACCGATATCGATCGGAAATCACCCCCTCAAGAGTTAATGCCAAGGAAAAATGTTTTGTGATTATTTCCCTATCTGATTGAACAAATGCAATGCGGATAGCCGTCTTTCACTGCATCATTCAGTAAATACTCTGAACGCAAACTTTGTTGACCTTCTCGAAGCGGCTCACGTAGTATAGAATGCTCTAATCAGACCACCGAGTCTGATTAACCTTTCATTAACGAGCACCCTTCTTTTTTTCTAACCACCACAAACTCACTGCCTGTATTTCGATATTACTCACACCAGTTTTGTTAACATACTTCCCACTGATACTCATGATCTAACATGAACTCTTCTATCATGCACATGGATAGAATTCGCACTGAACGTATGCACGCGGATTGTTTCTACAGTTTGTTTGTTTGCTTCACTCTACAGGATTTTCTATCAATTCACTTCCACGAGAAACTTTACTGTCCGTATCATTGTTCGCGTATAAAAAGGGTTCCCCAGAACATCCAGAAGGTGAGTTTTATCACAATTATACTCGCTTTCATTCGTTTGACTTGCTCCAATGCTGACCGATTTTCTGTCCTCCATGCCAGAACGTTATCGATGGTCCGTTTCATTTGCTTTCTGTTTTGTTTGTGTGCGTTTGTGTGTTCGTCTCTGTACACTCAAGGACTTCCAGTAACGCGAAAATGCGCGCAATTCTGCACCTGAAAAATCGGATGCGTTTTATATCATGAGTGTACCTGGCAGCCAAAAAACCTCGATTACACTGCAAACTTTGTGTACTTATGCTACTTTCTTCCCCATCGTCTTAACTTTTTTCGTTCGCACCAGGCCTTGCACTGTGCTTACGTTAACGAGGTCCAAGTTCTCACCACGCTCACCAGTTCTTAGTTCGTTTGCTCCACTAAAGGTGTAAAGAAAAGCCCCAGGTCCAGTCGTTACAGACTGCGAGACCCGATACACACTTCTTTCGTGCATCATTACTGGTTGCATGGGGTCGAATTACCCTCCTTCAGTGTTAGCCTGAACAGTTCAGTCATTCCCGCAGTTCGTCCTATGCACATCTGTCTATGATCTCTATCTGGCTTGAAAGCATGCATGCAGGTTTTCAGCTATAAGAATAGAAATGTTATTCAATGAAAAGTTTCGATAGTGAAAAATAATTTATTTCGGTCATTTTTGCTCTGGATGTCCAGTGCTACCTATTCAAACTCTTCGAATTTTGGCCTTATGTGGAGTAGGCTTGGATTTGAAGTGGATTTGATCACACTAACCAACCAAGAGGTATTCAAATCAGTAAAAGTGGGAAACACTGATCGATAAGTCACCAAATCACACTGAACACCATCAGAGGAACACTGTTGTGTTCCACACGCACTAGAACCAATATAATTGCCATCTCTGGTGTCTGTTTCCCTCTTGCAATCTGTTATGTCTCGATGATTCAACCGAGCATTCTGTGGTTTTGATCCAGTGATTAGAACTATTTTTTAAACCATATTCCTGAAAATCAATTATGCATACGTTGCCAACAATAAAGTGGTTTAGTGAATAGTTTAAGTATAGATGTGAGAGACTTGATTCGTGTGTGCACCAGGATGTCCCCGTGAACGGATACACCCGACAAATGCAAGTGGGCCGAGTCTAGGTGTGGGCTGGAACCGTCGACAAACAGGAGGTGCTCCGTGGAGGGGGCGAACTGACAATCTGAAAGAGAGGAAAATACAGACACCATGAACCACAAGGTCCAGTGAGACATGAACACCACTCACACTCAAACGGAATGCCAAGTTGCCAAGGTCGTTACATAGAGGCTTATAGTTCAACGATTACAGTAAAGGTAACGACCGGGTTTTTCTGTTTCATGGGATTTGGAATGCCGCCGTTTGGCCAACTTTTAAAAGCCCTAGTGTGAGTAACTTATCGCTTATGACTGGGTCTTAACAACAAATGGAAATGAAGGAGATATCAGATTAGTGCAAAAGTCCGTGGCAATAACGTTAACAAGGGTTAAGGAGACGAACACACACGGTGATGGGCCAATTTTTGAAGAATAGATGTTAGTCCCGGACCGGTGACAATGCGAACCGCTTCACGCTAACTACGTGCAAAAGTACCCAAAACGAACACGGGACTCCCTGTCAAATACGGCTGAAATATTTCATAGTGATATGTATTCGGGCCTGGTAGAGAGCAAACGTTTCGGCAGAAATGGGACACCGTTTTGCGCAGAAAAAAGTAAATATTTTCTTGGACGTATGGAATGCGAGATCAAATGGTCGAGGAAAGTAAGGCAAGGAAGATTGAAATCGAAGACTAATTTGAGCTGTGGAAGATATAGACCGAAGTGTAACTGCAGACAGCGTCTACAGAGATTACGCTTGCGGTATGCAAATCTGCAAGAGTTTTCTGGTAGGTCGAAAATCACTCTATTTTCGGTGTTCAAGTCTGAATGAATTAAAACACAACCAATGACGGCGATGCAGTAGAAGCGTGTAGAGTATTGTAAGAAAGAGGATAATCCAAGACAGCATTATGTGAAGAAAAAAGGAATGCTATTACGATTTTGAGATTAAAACAATCGTCGAATAGCACAATTCCTTTCTTATCTTGTTGTTCGATTAAAGACTTTCCATCATCCAACCCGTCTTGCTTTTTGCACTCGTGGTCCGCTGGTGATTCTGATCCGATTTTTGTGTATGTATATAAATTGGTTTTGATCTGTCAAGCGCAATGATAAATTTTTGGAGTAAAATAATGGAAACACATTTTGGTGAACAAATAGAAATAAATCTAGCGAAAATCGCACAAGGTATAGCGCACACAGTCAAAATCCACAAGTTTGTGGGAAAAGAATACACGGCTCTCACAATAAGTGTTGTGTGATTTCACATATCATTCAGTTTAGTTTGATATTTTGAAAAATAAAAACGGTTTTACCATTCATTGTGACCTGCTGAGCTTAATATCGGACAGATTTCTTTAAAAGTAACCGCAATTGCCGCGTTTTATGGTGGTTGAATCGTCAGTCGGACAGAGATTGTAAATCTATGCTGGGGTAGACTTTACTAACTGAGTTGCATACGTGAGGCCATGCAGCATTATGTTCATCAGTTAGTTACTTTTTGCAGTTAGTTATCACCTAGGACTGCTTCAGACTTGCTTTGTGTACACGTGTAATTTGCTATAAGCATTTGAAAATCAGTGTAAGGGTTCCTAAAGTTTTTGCCAAAGTTCGGAGTAGTTGGGGTCGCGGTGCAAAGTTTTCCTATCACACTCATAGTAGACACTAGTCCAGTAAATTATCATTTCACGCAACTCGTGTGTCTGTGTTTTGCTCGTGCGCACATTTCAGCTGATCGAATTTTGATTGGTTGGGTGAACATCCCAATCTTTCAAGCCAACGGACGACTGAAGCAGAATACTGTGGTGGCTGGATTATGGCCCCCCATAGACAATATGCCAGAATGTCGGCTCACATGGTCTCAGTCCAATCGATCCTCTACTTGTCCGGTGGTTCAGGTCAGTCCCGTCAGTCTTGGTGTCTTCGCTTCGGAACGGTTCACAATGAGTTGGTCCTTTTTATGTGTGTGCTAATTGGAACAACCGTTTTCTTTGTCCATGAGAAGTAGCTGCGTTGTCGCCTGGCTCCATACCACGCTCATACTGATGTTGGTTATGTGAATTCCCCGGTTTCAAGTCACCAATTCTGATGATCGATCAATATTTGGATAGAGAAGTCAGAAACGTTGGTTTGCACAATGTATTCTTGATAATTTCGTTGCGTCTGTACACGTGCATACTGTAGTCAAACTTGAATGTGCTATGCACGTGTACAGATACAGTAAAAGGATCATGGATACATAGTGCAAACCCATATTGCTGATCAATAAGCACTGTAACCATGGAGAAAGAGTGTTTGTGGCAAGAAAATGTTCTGCTTTTATTGTCTTAGTTGTTCTTAGTTATTTTCATTACTGTGTCTATCTGTCTAACTGAACTCCGACAAGAAGTATTTTTAAGTGTATGGGAAATGGCGTTGCATACAAAGCAAACGAGATTAGTTGAGCTGCACTATTTCGGATCTTATCAGAAGTTGAAATTAATTGACCCAACCGGAGATCGAACCCGGGACCCCAAATGTCGAACCCAGGCACATCAAATAATCAACCACCGGGTAGATAATCAGTGTTTTACTCTGTTTATTAACGATAAAGTCCAACCCATATTTACTAGCTTATTGTGAGTAACCAACCTCGCGCATCGTACACCAAGATCCAGTGTCATGATCGGGTCGATACCGTCCCAAACTTAACTACACTGCTCTGTATACGATAAATATATTTGCATGGCCGAGTCAAGTTCTCTCTACCAAGGTCTCGTCAAAATTAGTCGGTTGTGCTATATTATACACAGAAAAAGTGAGACAGTATGCTCAATCACTCAGTGGTCAAGTGCTGAATTGGATCTAATCTTTCGTTCGTCTTGCATTCCCAATAATCCAGGCTCAGAATATAGTTCTCACCTTCACGAGTGATTATATCATGTTTCCAGTTTACCCCGTTGCTCAACGTTTCTACTGCGTACCTCGTCCAGTCCATTCACACTGGGAGTGCGAATCATGCAATTAGCGTGCGCGCGTGTGCTCTCAGTCTCACTGTCTAGTGTTGTGCTCAAGGTCACCGGTCTAGGCCTATGAAAAAACGTCCCCAATTGAAACACCGCGTTCGTTCACGTGCGGTTTCTCCTGAAGGGCTTGAAAACAATTTGCGAAACTTTTCTGTCCCCCACCTCCCTCTTCCAACTCCACGATACACTGATGTTCCGCACTCCAAATGACTAACGCATTCTGTACGAAATCTTGGTCGCAAGTCGAATTACTTGTTGTCGGCAGTCATACAGGGATAAACAACAGCTTACTCTCCATTTGACTGACAATTTTCCCAGATTATTGTTTGGCGGATTGAAGTTCAAATTGTGAAAAGTTCAGTAGCCTCGGCGGGCTTCACATCCAGGCATGAACGCCACCCACGCTTTGGTACAGCGCACGCTCTACCAGCTGAGCTACGAGGCCACATCGATGGAACTGATCTTTTCACCTTAATGCCCCATCTAATTCACATGCTACCTGGGAGATGTAATTTGCCTCTGTAAGTAGGATGGATGATTCCAATGTGGAAATGATAATTTGTTACTGTCCTTTAATCAAGACACATTCAAAACACCATATCTGTTGAAGTTGATGAATCGACGAAATAAACTTGTTTGCTAATCTGCTGAATCTATTCAGAAACCATACTGAATAAGCTAAGCACGCCTAGATGAACATTTCCAATACTGACTACTTTGGATTCTCATAATATTATGGATGAAAATAATTTCACCCGCTTAGTATGCTTCATTTGGACTACTCCATTGTCATCACGTGCTCTGATCTGGTTGATATTTCGAGATTTCACCATCCAATTGTGGTGATCTGGAGTAAAATGGATTACAAGAATCCTTCTAATAGACCTAACAAATTCATGAATTGTCACATCCTGTAGGTAAGAGTTTTTGGTATCTAGCCTGTCTGTAACACTACTGATAAATCAAGAACTTACAGTTTCGGATCACATTGTATCAGTTTTCAATATACTGTCCATCACTAATACCGTACAGGTAATTCAGGCTATAGTGAGCATCAGTGCGCCACAAAACTTTGACGAGGTACTTTTAAAATGCTCTTGTTCGCGGAGAGCAGGCGCTCTTTGACGTTCGCCGCATGCTTTTACTCCCCTCGCATTAATTTCAGGTCAGCTTCCCGGAATACCCGTTTGATATCGAATATCCGGAAATAAAACCCGTTCCAATTACAAACACAAGGTAAGTTTTGGTGCTTCTGACCGGTTTCCCATGCGCTCGAGGTTTTGCAGGTGAGTTTTATTCTCGTCAGTTTGATTGATTCACCTCTGTAGGCAGGAGATGGAACGCGATCAATATCGATTTCGGTTTGTCCCAGTGCATACTGATCAAAATTTATCGCGCTGTTTCCGGTCAGAAATCAATTAAATTGAGAACTGAACAGGGCCGCACACGGGTATAGCTAATACAGTTAGAGGGGAAAATTGTGATTGATAGAAGAAAAGTAGTTCGCGAGTTCAGGTTTGCTCTGAAATCACCAGCCGAATAGATTGTTCAGCCAGTTTCATAGCACTTAACACCACATACGAACTGCACAGTAGAGCTATCCGTTTCGTATAAGTGTATGTCGTGTAGTGCGCGCACGCACACATGTCTTTGCTGGACAGTGATAAAGTTGCTTGATAAGCCTGAAAACACTGGATCAACCAGCACCGCGTGCCACACAAATTTGTTTTCCCAGTATTCTCTATAAAAATTTCTATATACAGAATCCATTTATGTCATTTCTATGCGGCGCTTTGGGATCCCAGATTCACCCTATAACCCACGTACTGTGTTCTGCAGTGTTCATTTTAACATGGAGATAATGTCTTACTTAGCTGTGAAAATCTATTCCGCTTTTCCGAGAGCACGGTGGATATATATCCATTCTAGATCGAACTTCCCGTTCACACAAAGGCTTTCATTATTTTTCCCTTGTGAAGTACTGTCTTCAAAATGATGTCGCAATACGTTCTGTTGATATAAGTCAGGTGGGCTTGATAACTACTGCTTTCATACAATCACTCGCATGTGGCGGTAACCACACTTGAGTGCTAGAACAAATGTTAGGCTTCTGGAAGCCTTCCATTTATAACTACACTGTTTGTCGCTACACTGTTTACGATGACTAGAATATAGAATGAGACCATCTAAGGATACCCGTTCACTGGTTGCCACCGCGAACTCTGATCTTGTGCGCACTGTAGTGACGATCGGCTGAAAGGTGTTGGTGACAGAACAATGACCCAGCGAAGTGGAATCAAGTTGGCAGCAGGAGGCTTGTCTCAAATTTCAGGTAAAAGCTAAAAGAGTCTTGGATAGTCTGAACAACAACCTATTACCCGGTTACTGTGGTGGAGCTGTTCAGGATTTTACAGTTTGTTCGCATCCTAACAGGGACTGTCCAAAAAACAGGATTAGATTCTGTAAAAATAAACAAAAACAAAACCTTGACTATGTTAAAGGTGCGGTTCTGCTTCTTCTTTTGTGTATTGCGGGCGGTGGTTGTCCAGTGATAACGTCACCAAATTATCACCGCGGAGGATGTGTTTGAATCTCATCATCTCGATATGTTGTGTAACAGCCCTTTGGTTGGCTGCTTCTCCCTTCCTGATAATTGTATCATTGTATGTTTAAAAAAAGTTAAAAATGAAAAATTTCATTGCTATTTGTATTTATTGTTTCTCAAACATCATGTGACTTTTACATGTGTGACTTGTATCTTTACATCTAAAAAAGGGTTAGTTGGGGACGCTATTCTAGTGTGTATTTATCTTTCTTATTTTTCATTTCATTCTATCGGCTCTGTTGAAACAATTCACACATAATTAGGGCTATCATTGATCGTATTTGTCTGGTTTTACGAGCTACCATGTGGGTTCATTACATATGATTTAATCTGTTTGGTGTATGGTTCATTGTTTCACTCTGTTTTTTGTCTGCACTCCAAATCGTTTCAGTTCTCCTCCGCGCCGATTTTCTGAACTTCCTGCTGAAGCGAAACAAGCTGTACTTGAAGCTCAATGTGCTTTATTTCTTCATACACTCAATCCAGAATTATCAGCCAGTTCAACTCTTCAGTGCTGGACCTCTTACAGCGCTGCCGCGTCCGCTAGCAGTCGTGCTGTACGACACGGCAAGGCCTATCCTGTTCTTCCCGATCTTCATTTAAGCGCCCTTACATCTTGTTCATTGACTGGATCCTCTGGCCTGGTCACGTCCCCTGGAGGCCCGACGACTGTAAGCGTGGTGAATACCACTATGCCGGGAAGCATGAGCGACGGTTCGACGCTCTCTCTCCCTTCACCTTCTCCCGTACCGATTGAGGTGTTATGGAATGTGCGCTCTTGGTTAGCCGATATGCCTACCGGACTGGTCGCCCTACTCACCGCGGTGCTAACCACTTGGCCCCAAGAAGCGCAGAACGATTCCTCGAATCGGAATTCCTCTTGGTCGTGGACCAAGCTGTTACAGGACATATATAAGTAGGTCTATTTATCTCCTGGCTAAGCTCTCATCACGAAAAATGAAGAAAAACTATCCTAGTTTTGAAAATCAAAAGCATTCTTAAATTCATTTTTTCGATACTATATAACCATACTATCCACGGCCGACCAGAGCGGACGCGTCTCTTGGTGGCCAGGTGACCTATCTATTTGGTCAATGAATGAACTCACTGAGTCTCTATTGTATGGGTTGTGAAGTATGAACAAATTTGGTGTGAAGGTGAAATATTATTATTATCATTATTAGTCTGTATACTTGACGTTAACTTTGCTTGATTGCTTAAAACCTTAAACCCACGTTCGTATTTTCCCCGTCTCGTTTAATTATTCCAATATTCCTTTTAACCAACAACCGTTCTCTTTTCTTATTTATGCCCGAACGTTTTCCTAATCGGTCAGTCTAATCTTATCACATCGGTTTTGCTCTTTTTCTACTAAATTGCACAACATATTGCTTGTTATCTTGTTTCGTTCGTTACGCTTTTTCTCAAGAAATTGGATGTGCGGTTTGTTTAAGTTGTGTGATTCCGAAGAAATTTACTTGTGAACATGGATGGTGATGAAAATCAACTGCATAAACTTGATTGTATCAAACCTCTCTCCTCACATGTGTTGGGAAGTGTCGCTCTTTTCGCGCGTATCATGCATCGATTATTCTCATTCGTTTTTCTACTCTCTGTTTGGATTACAGTCTCTTGGCCGTGTCCAAACCACCCTGTCCCGGTTTAGCCCTTCGTCTTTTGGCTCCTGATGTTGCTGATCAGGGTATTCGACACTGGGCTGTCCGTGCACTCGCTCAACTTCCATCGGATGTGCTCCTGCTCTATTTGCCCCAGATCTTGGAGGTAAGCAAACATTTGCATTTGCACCAAAAAACACCACATGTGTGGTTAGATCGCAGATAGGAGGTTTCAGAGGTTAATTGAGCAGTTGGAGGGTCTTACATTGAACCGGATTGCAAAGCAAAATGTCTCACCTTACACGTGATTGCAGCATTCGGTTGTTGACCGGATTTGAGCTTGGTACAAACGAGAACGCGTGTTAGGATAGCGAAGCATCTTGCGCTGTCTAAGATACCAACTTTGCGCGCATTGCATGAGGCATGCTTCTGAATGAAGGTCAAAAGAGAAAAGAAATTTGGCTCAACTCAGGAGAAAGAATTTGTGGAACTAAGGGAGACCAAATCAAAATTCAATGGAGTAGAATCGGGAACCGTTATGAGGAAGGCTGAAAGTGAAACAGACGTGGTTGATAGAACCTCGTGGAGTCTGGATTTAAAGATCGGTATCAAGCGGTGCACTAGTAACATCGTGATGCTCATCGGTGTTGTTGCAGGCCTTTCGGATCGTGAGGTAAGAAAGAGAACCACTGAAGTTGGAAACATGCTTAAAATAGGTTTTTGTATCGAATTTTATTAAAAAATCAATTATAAATAGAAGGAGGGTATGCATGAAACTTTGGATGATACTAGTATTCAGAAATAATGGCCGATATGGGACCCCGATCAACTCTGACGGAGATGGTTTACTTGCCGAAGGCACATAACCACAGTACGGAAAACGGTCAAAATTTGGACGTAGTTTATTTCGACAACAGGCCTTTGTGTCAAACTAAATTAAAGCTCTTAGAGATATCGAGCGTGACCGAATGAGCATCTTTGTGGCTATCGATTAAATTTCATCAGGAGTGTTGGGTGCGTGCCTGTTGGTCGCCCACGGAACGACAGCGCCGGACGAATGGTAATGGTCACTCTCCAATCTTTCGCGATCGGGGCGACTGAGCGAAAATAACGTTTCCAAAACATTCTAAATTACATGAGGTGGACAGTTGATAGAACAATAGTTATTCAGATCAGAAGGGTCTTCACGCTTCGGGAGAATGTATATTTTCAAGGATCACCTAGGTTTTCTCAGTTGAATTGAGAAATCTTATATGGTGTGTGAAAAGTTGTAGTTGTACCGACTGAGACGCAAACATTTAATTTCTGACCACTGTTTATCCTTGTTCAAAGTGGATGAACATTATTCGAATTGAAAATTAAATAAATACAGAAAGAAACTGATCATATGACTACTACTACTACTAGTCATATTATGTGATCAGATTGTGTGAAGATGAACAAAGAACGCTCGATAACTGCTTTGTCCTGGTTCGAGTTCACTATGCTTTTCTTGATTGCAGTTGTACACTGAAATTTCAAGAAAGGAGCGGGTAGCAGTCCCTGTGGCGCTGCTCATGGGAAACTCATAGTGGTGAATGGGTCGTGCGATAGTAGTGTGGTTTGATCTCGAAATACTGGAGTTGGTGTGACGGTGAACTTGAGTACACATCCATTGCCGTCCACAAAGAAATTTAATAAAAGTGCATTCTTTTGTGGAATAATTCGCTCGATGACCGACTCAGAGCGATGTTTTATTCTCGTTTTGACTTGTCGTCAGTGGTACTAATTTCGATTCCGTGTCGCAACTCTAAACGTGAACCTTCAGGTTGGTAGGTGAATTTCTTTCATCCTTAAATTACACTGTGGAGCAAACAGATGGGTACGAACAGTCAAAAATGGAGAGTTAGTTTGCTTCCGTAGAATAAAAAATAATTTACTTCGAATCAATGAAATTTGTGCATCATGATTGGATGATTCCAGCGGTGAGGATCCCGGGACGACTACGAAGTTTGCTCATTCATTGCATACGTTTGTGATAGATGGAAGAACAGAACGCAATGACCGAATACCAAAGTCCGTTTTAACAGGAATGCTGTGCTAACCAAAATGGGCTCACAGTTTAGGATTCAGGGACCAGTTAATTTATCCCAGTTTCATCATTCACCCATCATTACCCATCGTTCCATCGTCTTTAAATGGTGCATCATATCGTAAAACCAGTAGATCTATCGAAACAGAATTCTTGAAGTGATTACATAACCGTGAACATCAAATCGAATTGCCAGTCAGCCATAGGCCAAAAATAACGGATTTAGTTAACATCTCGCTGTAATTTTATATAAGAGATACTTTTCAACTGCAATAGGAGGTGTTCCATTGTTTGTTTCCACTTCAAACATTCTCACTAATGCAGGAATCTTTTATAGGCACTGAATCACGACCTGTACTTGGACTACTCCGGTCTGGCCAGTTTACTCCTGTTCCGAGCGGCAACCTCAGTACGGTTCGCATATGCACTGTATTGGTGAGTTCTTTCCAGTTGTTTCAGAAATATCGGTTCATCACCATCAATATTCTCGTCTTTTATGTTTTGTGTATGCGTATTCATCGTCGACAGAACCGACAACACTGATCTTTCCTCTATCTGTTTGGATTGATTATCGGTGACAATTTAAATCCATTGCCGTGTAAACTTCAGCTAAATGTGACAGTAACTAGGGTCAAATGCATTGTCATGAGGATCCACTCTTCGATTATAAGAACTGCCACCATCGACCTTGAAACTTGGAGGATAACATTGTACAAGGGTTTAATTGGACAAGCTTGATATTGAACCGGGCTATCGTCAATTTGTATACCAACAGAATGCGTCACGATGACAGAGTTCGAACCTCCAAACCTGCATCGCAATAGTTACGGCAAATCAAACCGTTTGAACATCATTACAAACCAACATCTGCTGACCATATTCCACCTAGCTTTTTTGAAGCATAATCGGGGAAATTAGCAACTTGTCTCAGGTCTGTGGCAAGTTTCGACCTAAGTATTATCACCTCCTGGCTTCTGTTAGGCTATGATTTTTTGTTTGAGAATGATATCCTTTTTATTCAACCGAGATTCTCCCATCATATATCTGTAGAGCTGAATCGTTTCGTCACTGTTATCTTTCTTAACTCTACTTTCCCCCCGTATAGGCAATTGAATCTAGTCACTCAGGACGCGGCTGCTGCAAACTCGGGCAGTCCAATGCTATCATCTTCTGCGTCTAATCCCAACCTCAATTCTTCACTTCCAAACAATGCTTCTTCCTATTCATTACCTGCTGTGAATTGTACAACTAACAATCATACTAGTGCGGGTGCGAATAGCTCCATCCTCCCGAATTGCTGGCGTGGACGACGTTTTCTCTTGCTCAAATCCGCTCTGCTATGGCTAGCAGGATCTCAATTACGTGCGGCCTGGCAACGCCAGGAAGAAATAATCGATCGTCTTTACCAAGCAGGTAGTTGCACATTTTGTTCAGTTCTGGTTAGACTGTGCATGAGTTTTATATGGCATACGAATTCGTGCTGTCATCCATCAGCTACGGTTATCCGTTTCGAAAGCGACTTCTTTGCATTCAGTTATTGTGGAGTCTGTCTATTTTGGTGAATGACGGGTGCATCGATGTTTGTGCTGCTCTTCAGACGTCAGATCGCTTCCATTCTACTCGCACTTTCTGAAGGTCACACAATGAGTCCTGAAGAAACGACGACAACCCCGTTCCTTTACACAGACCGAATAGTTCTATTAGTCGTTCATTATCATCCTCACCAGTGTTGATTTTTGATAGCGTGATTCGGTTAAGGAGAGATCGCTGAATTGCCTGTTCTCTACAGTGCGATAAACCAGTTGTAGGTAATAACCAATGCGCGCGGTTTTGCATTGAAGCCCAAAACTCTTATGATATTTTCATGATATAGATGACATTTTTGAGGTCTTGAATTAATTCGAGACGTATTTAATAATACCCTTTTTCCTCACATAAATCACACATCAACGCTCTGAGTCTGGATGCGTTTAGTGTTTCATTATTCATGTGAGATGTTACTTGAAATTGGAGTAGTTTTAGTGTATCACATTGGTTAGAATGAAAGTCCACATCGTGGTGTTTTCTAATCCCATTGCAGCATTCCACCTGCCCTCAGATTCTAACTGAAATAGGACGCTTGCATTCCGGAACAAAAAGTTCTTCATAGTCATCACCAGTTGTTTTGAAGAGAGTCAGATTTGTCATCAAGTATTTGAGGTTCATAGATCACAGAGAAATCAAACATGATATTTTGGGATTATTCGTTTAGCTTACCTACTTTTCGACTATTTCCTGATTTGATTTATGCACGGAAAAATTTCAGATAGTTAGAAACATTTCTTAGTATCTACTCTGTCATCAAATGCCATTGTTTTCGTATGTCGCTCATCTGTTTGATGTTCTGCTGGGTGTTTCCTTACTCAAGCGGTTGCCGTCAAACACTCCAAGGGTAGCGCAAGTGCACGAGAAGAGGCACTTCAAAGTCATTTGCGGTCAATGATGCGACTTTTAAATGAAGATAATTCGCGTTCGATAGTCGGTAAGGCCATTCAAAATCAAATATCGACCCCCAAACCCAACACCGCGCCTGCAATACCGGCCCCGGTTCCATTGCTCATCCAACTGGATGAGGAGAATAATCAGGCGGAACAAACATCTACAGAGAATCCCAACAACTCCAGTCCCCAGCAAAGCACCGTTGCGTTGGTTCCCCTTCAACCGGCATCATTTTACGATGTCGGATTTCGTATGCCTTACAATCCGGGCTTGCTAACCCATCGAATNGCTAACCCATCGAATCGATCTACACGTGAGTGCTTTTGCCTGTTCTCCGAATAGACGCCGTTGGTTGCGCTTTCTAACTGAATTGTGTAAACAAATGTCTACATGCAGATAAATTCATTTCAACCAGGTTTGTTTACTCGTCTGTGCTGGGATTGAAAAAAATCCGTTAGGGTTGACCACAAATTTCCCTCAAGCACATCTGGCTACGCTTATCCATGTTTCGTTGAACTTCTTGGTTGTTTGTAGCTTCATTTTTGACGCTATTTGAAAATGTATTCATGGCCGTTGATCGTTTTGAATACTGCAAGTCGATGTTCGACACTATCTTTACCTACTCAGGATGCATTTACAGACCCCGTAAACGGAAGTGGAAACCATGGATATGCGCAGTAGATCCTGTTCGACAAACTACGTTATGACTGTCCAACGGCATATTAGAAAATGAGTTATCACAGCGTGACCTCGTAGCGTGTCCTCAAGGGTCTAGGTTCCGTCCAT